AGACCTTACCGCTCTCTGCAACTGCCTGAAACAACGCCGTAGTGAGGTAGGAGTTGGTGTCTTCTCCCAACTGAGTAGCAATAGGACAAGAGGAAAGAGCCTCAAGTTGCACGAGGCAGGTTTAGATTGGACATGAGGAAAAAAAAAAAAAAACAAACACTGTACCAAACAGGCTGCCCAGGGAAGTGGTGGAGACACCCTCTCCGGAGGTGTTCAAAAAACATGTACATGTGGTTCAGTGGGCAGGGTGGTGTGGGGTTGACAGTGGACTTCACAATCTTAGAGGTCTTTTCCAACCTAATGATTCTGTGATTTTATCCTCTCACAAAGAGGCAGCTTTAAATAGCTGTGTAAATTACATATCCGTTTCCCCATGCATGGAAAGCAGCAGTACAGATGAAGGAAACCAGAATTACCTCCCCACCAATGCTCAGGCCCCTGCCTGGCCCAGGCACGGGCCATGGTGGCAGCAGCCCTTGGTGGTGCTGGATCATTCTAGGTGTTACGCAGGGCCACCCAGCCAAGCTGCTTCTCCTCCCTTCAGCCCCGTGCCAGGCCAAGCAGGTGGCTGATGGGGCAGCGGTCCGAGGCCTTGCCACCCTCTCAGGGCTGCAGTACAGGGTGCAGGGACAGGCAGTGGTTACCTTCACCGGGGAGCAGGCCTGCTCCCAGGAACACATCTGTGCTGCTGCAGCAGGACAGCATGGGCTCCCTGGGAAGAGAGGGGCAGACCTGTTACTCAGCTGCTACCCTGAGTACACCCTTCAGAGCAGAGCTGCAAAGTGACAGTAACAGCACCACAAGAAAACCCCTCCGGTTTTCTAGCACGTGCCCACGGTATTTCAAAGTGCAGCAGAAGCTGTTGGATACATGTTACCTCCATTGCTGAGGTGAGCAGACAATCAAAATTAAAATCAAGGCAATTTAGGTTAAAAAGTGATTCCTTGCTGCAGTTTGGAAAATAAAAGGCCTCAGAGGAAGTAGGAGAGGGAACCTGAACTGCTTCAGTGCCAGTGGGACCGCCGTGCTATTCCCCACGGATATCTCCTTCCAAACACCTTCAATAATTACAAAATTGTTATTTGGAAATAACGATTTCTTATTAATAGCTTAATAGTTCTAATTAACAGTTTATTTTGTGTTCCGGTGATTTTAAATATCAGAACTGTAAAATAGATAACAGCCAGGAAAACAGATTAGTAAAAGCTTTGGTTTTGGCATGTAAAAGTACAGTAATTTTCATTGCATTATTATATATGATAAAGGACAATCAGGCATTTGAATGTACAGGCAAACATTTTAAGGAAAAAACCCAAACACATTAAAGATTCAGACTAAATTCCATTTTATTTGTTTCACAAAGTCAAAGACATACAGATTGTTTAGTCCACTGCTTCCACGTCAGATCCAGAGCAAACCAAGTCATGTGCTCTTACAGAACTAATACCACCAGTGACTTCACCATCCCTGTTCCAAAAAAATTAAGAAAACTATGGGATAGAATCTGCGTCTCAGATTTGATCAGCACCATTGCATCGGTATTCAGGTTTTTTCAATGTACAGAAATGTTAGCCCCAAATCATGCCTCAGTACAACATCTTTTACTTCAAAATCAGAGCTTGAAATTACTTTCAAGGACAGGAAACACCCTCCACTCTTCAACCACAGGATGTCACCATAGAAAACATCAGTAGCTGCTTGCAATTTGATTTACCTTGTAAGCTTCAGCACACTTTATGTTTATAAAAAGGAATGTTAGAGACCAAAATCTTTACTTAAAGAGTAGGTAAATACAGACGACAGCAGTGCAGACTCTCCTACACCCTAATTCTTGTCTCCTGGCGTTCGGTAACTCCAGCCTCACTGGAGCACTCTGTTTTGGAATAGAACCATGAAACAAATCAGTTAAACACAACTAAATTAAAAATGTTCTATATTTAAAGGTTACCGGTTCTCCTTTTTAAGGTTGTCTCAAATATTCAGGATTCACATTTCAAAAGGCCTCACCAAAAAGACAGGTGGATACATGCTTCGGAAAGAATTTAACCATCATTGCTTACAAGGAGTAACTCATTTCAAGCTCTGCATTTAAAGTGCCCATAATCTTTTACATAGCAACCAGCACGTAACACAACTTGTGACATTTATCTACATTGTGTTATCACCACCTATTACAAAGGACAGGCACTGAACTTTTAAAAGTGTTATTACAAATTATAAAGATTACATATTACTGAAAAGTTAGAATCCATATTCAATAACCAAGGATTTAAATACTTCTTGCAATGTTATTTTATGTATATATTTATAGATGAGCAATTACACTTATTTTGGTTTTTGGCCCTCACATTCATAACAACAAAAAAAAAACCAACAAAAAAAAAATCACACTGGACCGTGTAAGCAGGGGAGCACTCACGAGCTGGCTGACAATGCAGGATCCTTGCAAGTACCCAAAACCTGAGCTGGGAAAAAGTTACACTCTGTCAACAGTGCTAGGTTACCTTTATAAAGAAATATGCTACCTTCCCAGTCCTGCCCACCCGCCCAGGAATATGTGAGAACTATTTTTCTGCCCTTCACCCACGCGCACAATACATAGACGTGATGGCACTATACAACCAAGCTGTTTCCCAACAGCACAATGTCTGATCAAGTCCATGTAAGCATTTCTTAAAGCACAGTGCAATTTTAGTCGAAAGCACTCCCCCCTCATAATATCTACAAACAAATAAAGCCTATTTCTAATATTATAAGTCAACAGTCTCATTTCACCTATATCCTCAAAACAAGACTGTTCTGCTTGTTAGAAAGTACACCTACGGTTGATTATGTTTAAAACATTACATCTACTTGGTGCTGCAGTGTGGGTATGGAACCTGCAGGAGTCCCAGGCTTCTGAGATCAAGTTGCCTCCAACTTACTTCTCCTTCATTTTTTTCAAATAATGAGCCCGTGTTTGTTTATTTACTTTCATGAGTAGATGAACAGCAGCAGGCGTAGGTAGAAGAGAGAAGACCCATCCCTATTAAAAAAAAAAAAGGGGGGGGGGGTTGAGGGCTGTGTACTAAGTGAAATCCAACAGCTACCAGCACAAACAGACATTACCAAGTTATGATTAGGACTTAAAGAACAAAAATATCTAACATTAAAAATTATTCTTTACTCTTCTTCTATAATGAACACACACAAAAGACATTCCAGATCCTTACATTTTCCAAGGTGACTTACTATGAGTGCATGGGGTAGGCACCCGTTGGTCTGGGACTGCAGGCCTACCGTGCCTAAGGCAGCTCTGACGTACGTTTCAGGACTGGGCTTACTGAAGGTCGGCTTGCGGATTCTGGACATTTTTGTTGCCACATAATATGGTAGAACACTCTGCATTGTAGGAAAGATGTTAAACAGAATACTTTCAGATTAACTTACAGATCCATCAAAGAACTAAAATCACTGGCAATTAGATAACCTGTATACAGAGTTCCAGCTTTAGCTAGCCTTCTTTTCAATTCTAAAATCACAACGTACAATATCAAAAACATTTGTAATCCGATCTCTTGTGGGCCATATTTGGAATGTGAAGGATAGGTCAGTGGGCTGTTGCTAGTCAGCAGCCCCTAGAAAAACCACTCTTGCAAGCATAGGGCTGAAAAGCTTTTCTTCCAATTTGCCTTGTAAGTACAAAACTTCATTGCAGCTGTTTAACAGAAAGTGCTGTGGTGTTGCTTTTCTGTAGTAAACCCCCCATGTCTGCTTGGGAAGGGGGTGCAGAACCCAAGACACAGATTTTATACTTGAGTAACAGCTCCTCAGTTTAGCACCTGAACAGAGAAAAACACAAAGGCAGGAAAGAGGAAAAAAAGGGAACACCGGGAGACTTGGAACCTTGTAACTTGGAATTGTAACCTCACAGGAGGGCTCAGAGGAAGGAGGAGATATTGGTAGCAGAATGGAAGACCTCAAGGACAGAAGGAAGGATCAAGAAACTGAGCACAGTTAATGGGCTTTTATAGCAATGTTTGGAAGAAACAGAAAAAGAGACAGTGGGTCTCAGAACTCCCAGGCCCAGGCATAATGGAAAAGCAAGAGGAAGTGGCATGAGTATAACGTTGACAGAGCGACACTGGCACCACAAAGGCATGTCAGTGGTGGGGCAAGATAGACCTGGGGCATCCAAAACCACATTTCTTCTATCCTCAGTTCATACTACTGGAGAAGGATTATGAAATGCACGTGTACTCGTACACTGAGAAGCAACCCTCTTTCCTCCTAGTTTTGGCATCACTTTCAACTTACCCTCAATCTAGGCCTCTAAAAAAGTACACAAAAGCGCCCTGGTCTGTACCACTTAGTCAGGTGCTAAACATACCAGATCTCACAAGCTTAGAAAGGTTGGAACCTTACCAACAGACTGACAAGGACCTCCTAAGACACTGTCTGGCTGTACTAGTGATCAGATACATACAGTCACTCCTGCCCATCACGGTAGCAAGCGCTGCGATTCATGCACCTTTACAGCTGATAGCCGAAAAGTGTGCATCCACTTCTGCTACACTAATGGATCTCAAAATGAGAATACCATCTCAAAACTTAGGGCAAGTTACAGTTTGGAAATCTGCTTCCCCGTGTTAAGTCCCTTAAAGAACAATGACCACACATGTTTGACCTCAGAAATGTTTGCTATCACACTCTCAGAAGCATAGCACGGGGGGGAAAGGACCACCTGAACTCAAACTGACTATTTATCCATGCCACAGCTGTGCACATTTCAACAGGAATTTGACCATCACAAACAGAAATCTTGGTGTGCCTGCTTATTCCTTCACCTTGGAACATTAAAACCATGCACCTCTCTCTACGAACAGGACTTTCAATGACATACTGCATGAGTCCACTTTCAAACGTAGAGGAAAACCATGGAGACCTGAATTTCAGAACCATAAGCAGTTACCATCACCTTTAAAGTCACCAAAAGGTACAAATCGTTGGATAAGAAAACTGCTCATTCTGTGCATATGAACCTAGTTTCAGCTCCAGAATGTGAACCTCATTCATTTTTAAGATTACATTTCTAAATGGAATCTCTAGTTTGGTGTTTAAAAGAAAAAGAAAACAACTCTAAGCTGCTTCTTCACTGTCACATTGTATCGGCAACATTCACACACAGAGTGGCATGAGAGTAATGACTTATTTTCCACATTCGTCTGCTCAAAACAGACTTCATAAGTGAACTGCACTACTCAGTTACGCCACTGGATAGCATGAAGGGGCAAACAATTGTGCATGAGGATACCTGGAAAAGCAAGCACACAGTAGCACTCCTGGTTAGCTATTGATCCACAGACTGAGGCACATAGAAGCATAAGATTCCACTCCTTTTTCTTTTTTTTTTCTTTTTTTCTTTTTTACCTCCCAAATGGTCTCCAGAAAACGGAGACAGATATTTAATTTCAGAGACATTAGATTTACTATATTCCTATGACCTGTGCTGTATTTCAACAGCTATGAAGAAATCTGTTGAATCCATTAAGTTAGTTTTCCCCCCTTATTCCTCCCCACAAGGAGTTCAGACATTCATGAACCATATCTAAAACTGTCATGACAGATGAAAAAAAATAATTTTACTGCCTAAAGCTTTTTAGCATTTTGCATTCAGGCAGATAAAATCCACACTACCTGGGCAAGTAACTGTATAGAGCATTCCTTGTCTTTATCCAGGGAAAGCCTAGCCTGTGCTCCAGTTTCAAAATATGCTTTAAAAGTAGCTTGTGTCAATACAATGTCTCTTGTTCACTTAAAACATTTGCTACTGCTTACAGCTCTGATGCTTATTAAAGTCAGCCCAAAAGTCAGAATAGCTTGTTTACACAATTTTATCACTTGTTTTACCTTACTTTTTTAAAAAAACCCTGAACCCTGGGTGTTTCCAAAGAAGTTTCTTTCCATTTCTTTATCGGGAAAAAGGAGGGTGGGGGACATATAAAGAGGAAATGTAAGAATTGCAGAAACCAAAGCTGATCTGTGCAAAAAGCTAAAAAGCAAAGCTAAAAGGCTTTGGAGGAAGGAAGACAAGGCCATTAGCCTGGTGACAGCAAACTTTTGTGAATAGCTGGAGAGAGAGCGAGGCTTGTTTAGTGTGGTGAAAAGGAGGCTGGTGGTGACCCAATACCTGCCTCAAGTTATTTCAAGGACAGTTACGAAGGTGAGAGCCAAACTCTTCTTGGTAGTGCCAGACAGAATAAGCAGAGGCAAAACCGTCAGTTTTGGCTGTGGACTGTCAGACTTGACACTAGGGAGAAAGGCTTTTGCTAGGAGAGCAGTACAACACTCAAATAGGCTGTCTGGAGAGGTCCCAGCAACCCTGCCCTTGAAGGTTTTTAAGATTTGGCTGGATAAAGCCACAACCCCCCCACTGCTAACAGCTAGTCAATCCCACTGCTAGGAGAGCAAGAGGTTAGACCAGAAAGCTTTCTAGAGATCCCTTCAAATGAACACTTGAATGATTTTGTAATCTGATTTTTATATAGCAGATAAGGTAGAAGAAAAATTTTTAGTGTTGCACTTTTGCTATGCATAGTAACAAAGTACAGCAGGGATAATACCAGTAACTAACCAAGGTTAAAAAAAAAGGGAGTAAAAGAAAGGGGTAAAGAACCAAGCAATGTTTTTAGATGTATTCAAAGAGCAAAAGTTTCAGAAGAGTCTGCAGACACTGTTCAGGGAGAGGTTTTTTTTTTTTTTCCAAAAAAGTCTTGAGAGAGGTCCTTGTCATCACCTTCTTCATTCCTTTTCTTTTTGCCTCTTTCTCTCCACATAAATCCACACACATAATTTTAACCTATGCTATCACTGTGCTGCTTCTGTAAAATTAAGTAGGCCTGTCAGCCAGGAGTGTATTTTTAATCTAAAGATGGCTACATTGCAATAAAAGCACTATATACTATTAAAACTAAGCTTCTACAGAGAAGGCAATTCACTTGAGCAAAACTGAGATACTTTAGGCTGAGCTTCAGAAACTGCTTGTTTCTACTTTCCACACAGTGGTACTCTGCAGGTATTGGCATGGTGAAAGTAACTGTTTTAAATGGTGGTCGCAGCTGTAAGTGCAAGTCTGGATTAAAAGTGCTACAGTTCTGAAGGTCATAGACATGAACTTCAAAGAATCTAAGGGGGATGCAGTCTTCCTTAGGGCTTGAAGGAGATATGTCAGCTGGTCTTCACAGGAAGGTACTCTTAATATTCATTAGTGTTTTATAGTGACTTAGGCTGGAACAAGACGACAAGGACATGGACCGCAATAAAATTAGCATAACAAATTGAAGCTGTGATAGCTGTTGGTCATCAGGCCCCCATAACTCACAATGGCAAATCACTGTCTACGTTTAGGGGCAAAAAAGCAGTGCTGTCAGGAGTTCAGCACCCTTAGCTAACATAGGAGTTGCACAAAGACAGCTTACCACAACCTGTGAAGTTTTGTACAGTAAAACGTAACTGTAGATACTGTAGAAAGCCAGATTTAATTCTTCATTTGTTTATAATGTTAAAAACATAAGCCACTGAAAACTTTTTCTAGCTTTTCCATACCCAAAAGCTAGAAAGTCTCTCCCATATTATCTCTATTCATTCTGTGTTTAATGCCTTTAGCCAAGCACAAGTTAACTGAGTTAATTACCTTTTCCTTTTCAATTGGTACTCCATAGTCATAAATAAGAACACCTGCTCCTCCTTCATTCTCCTCTCAAACTGACAGAGTACTATCTCAACAAAATTTGGGGAGGAAGAGACAATTGCACATAGGAACAACACATCTCAAAGATGTAACAAGCATCTCCTGCAAGCATCTGTCTCTACATACTCTCACACTGATGCAACTATCAGCAGCTTTACCTGAGAAAACACCAGAAAACAGAGCTTCGACGTTGTACCGCAACACACACACACAAAAATATCACACTCAGCTCCGTTGCCAGTGAAGCTGTGTGTTGAAGGAGTTTGTAGGTAGGCTTGAGCAGGAAAGAAATCCTACTATATTGAGGCAGAATAATACTCTACCAGTTCCTTCAGTCTCATTTGGAGCCTGTGACCACAGATTAAGAGAGATCCATGAAATGGATCTGAAGAATAGCTGTCTGATAATGAAGCTAAATCTGCAAGTAATACAGTTTGAACCACACTGGGGAGACAGAAGTAATATAGAAGAGTAAAAGTGAAAAGAAAGCACAGCACTCTGAGAAGTTACACTTTGGGAGCTCCACAGAAAGCTGTGATCTGTTACCAGCCTAAAACTAATGTCATCTAGTCTGTCCTCGAGAAGGTCTGTAACCACAGTAGTTAGAATGCTTTCAGGGACCACCTTTGTGTGCTTCCTCTCCACTGCCAACAGACCCCAAATTACACAGCATCCCTTAAGATGTTTAGTATAAAGTATAAAGTTTTAATCTAGGTTTAAATGAGGTTCCCATTAACAGGTCAGTGGCTGCATGGGAATAGCTCACCCACAATTGTCTCTTTTCTTAACACAATCCCATCAGGAACTGGGACAAGGCATTATACTAAACATCTGGGACTAAACATCTGGATACTAAACTGCAGGGTATTTCGTGGTGCTAAGCTCTTATTTTGCTGCGTATGTTTAAAGGCAAAAAAATAATCTATCACATCAAAAAGGTAACATAGCCTTAAATTGGTAACTTCTCTGTGGTTTTAGCCAGTAACAAACGTTGTGCTCTCAACCTTAATGGTTACACAAGGCAGGCAACTTTGTGCCTTACTGCTCGTAGGGCCTTTGGAGTTCAGATGGCTTTGAGAACCACCATACAGAATAGAGGAACCACAGGCAGGGACATGGGCTAATCCTGCTCATAAGATCCCTAACTGAATTTTAAAAAGATACACCACTGTCTTCACAGCACAGGTAAGCTTATACTACCTTTAGCAAACAGACAGTTGCTCTGGAGAGCAACAGGTATAAGCAGTAATGAACAACTCTGTGTTTACAACCAAAGCTGGAAATTCCAGCTACGTTCTGGAAGCAAACACTAACAGTATGTGACAAGTGATATTAAAGCAAAATCCCAGAAAGCTGTGAGAGACTGGCTTGGTTTGCCTTTTTGCCCCATCAAAAATAATTAAAACCATGGAAGTTAAACAAATGGGAGGGGAGCAAGACTCATCAGTAACATGGAAACCCAGTACTAAAGAAAATTAAATCACTCCATTACAGACAAAAGGGTCTTTGAGGCTTTGTTTATCCTTGGCTAGTGTGCTTACCCAGCAGTTGATTCACTGACACTGCAGGGACCGCTACTATTCCAGTCTTTTGAGCAGTTACCCATTGAATCTCCGTACAATGCACTCCGAAAGCACATTCAGGTAGGTGAAGTTGTATAAAAACATATCCTACAGAGTTGCACACAGTTTTATGGAATATTTTATGTTTAAAGGTTCATTTACCACCATCAGCTAAGAAACAACCACCCCCCCAAAAACAAACACACACAAACAAAAACCCCACCAACCTACAGCCCAAGCCATGTTTTTTGTTGGTTCAAGATGCATTGTTTCAGAGTAACTTAAAGCTGCTAATAGGATCAAAGGAAATCCTTATCATTAATCTGTGTCACATGTTCATGAATAAGAGGATACGTTGACTCCCTTTTGTTACCAAGACACCGATGTTGCTGTGGTAACCACACTTACATGAAACAAACTCTACTCACCTGCACAATGATGCCCTTGCTCTTGTATTCTGCATGGAGGGATCGGGAGAAGTAATCCACAAAAGCCTAGAGAGAAAAGAAGGGAAACATGCAGCATGCTAGACATTAAAATGGAAACTGTAGTTTGCAGGTTTTTAAATAGCAATTTAAATATGCTTACAGAGTTCCTGTTTTCAGAGTGAAAAACCTTAGGTTTTCCAAGAAACTTGGCATATTGGAGCAATGCCATCTCAATTGAAACCCTGTGTTTACAGAGTATTTTTACAGAAGTAAGGCTCAATCTAAACAAATAAAACGCTTTTTAATTTAGAAGGAAAAGGAACCAATTTGTTACTCAAATCCAGTTAAAAATAAAATAAGACTTTGTATGATCACATTGATCACTAATGATGTCATTTCCTTAGACTTTTTTTTTTTAAGAGAGTGATGTAAGTAGGTTTCTCTTGTGCATGGTTTTATAAACATTCAGTGTTTAAATACTTTGTCTTCTGCATTTACACGTCTAAGAAATGCCACCCTATAGTGATACTTCTTCCAAGTCCTGAAGTTCACCTCTACAGATTCTCTTCCAAACTTCTGAAAGTTTTAGAAATTACAAGATTAAAAGTTTAAAGAAAGTGAAAGGCCTTAAAAGATGCCTTCAAGATGCTCTCACATCTCATACAGCCGCCTGCAAAACCATGCTGAGCAAGTATTGTCCTAATAACTCAAGGCTACTCAGCAGTTCAAACCAGCGTACATTCCTCCTCCCCAAGTCCTTCTAAACCATCTTTCCTCTTTTCTCTCCAGCAGTCCAGTAAGACAAAAAAAAAAAAAAAAAGAAAAAAGAAAAATCAGGTTCTGCTATGGTTTCTTGTTTTATTGAAACAACACAGCCAAGTAGGATGAATGGAGTACCTTCAACTGAAGGAACTGAACTATCTTACCCATGCTTGAAGCTAAAATAAATACTAAATAAATTAATCTGAGTATTTAAGAAGCAGTTGCTTCAGAGCAGTTTCAAAACAAACAGCAAAGCTCTAGTACTGCACCTGCTTTACAGTCCTCCTTTGGTCACCATGTCACCAGTGAATTAACACAAGTCCTAAATGAAACCAGCACTTCAAAGTTTGCACTGCCTGGTGTTTTTCCTATCAAGGTCATCCCACTGAACTCAGCCTGCACAAGAAGCAACAGGAACACTCCCACACTACTTGGCTATTTCTATAGATACTCTCCTGAGCATTCCCAAGATCTGAAAGAAAACTAGATTTTGCTGTGTACCAGACAGGTCATTGTATTCTTCAGCTTCAAGTTGTACCTACAAGCTAGGAGGAGGCTCATTAAACCAAAAAAGCTCATCTTCTGTCCAATAGTTCCTTCCTTCTCCCTTTCCCCCAAGTACAAGTTCTTAACGGTTCAGTACTCAACATGAATGAGACTGTGAAAGTCTGATCTAGCAGCAACAATTTGAGGTAGCCATCCTATTGTAACTTGCAGACACACAAATAGTTCGGTGCAGTCCCCAACCACAGTTGCCAGATGCGTGTGTGATAACTGTGCAGAGTATATCAATAATCTATTAAAAATAAGTTAAAAAATCCTACTGTGTTAATCAAAATGTTTTGATCATTGAAATTTCTAACTATTTCTACAGGACAAGACTCCTGAAATAGGTTACTGCTCCAAATATGGAGACACAGTATAGAAAAAGACTGTCATCTCTACTGAGTACAAAGGGCTAGCCATAAAAAGAATGTTCATCTTGCATGAAAAAGTGCAACTTCCAGTATCCAAATAAGCTTTAGAATTTTTCTTCTTGAAGAATTTATTTCATGACAAGTTAGGTTTTCTACCTCCAGAAGCTCAAGCCCCCCAACAACCTTTAACTTACAACAGTCTTAAGAATGCTCTCTAAGTAAACATCGCCTGAATAAGCAGGTAAGCATTGCATGCAAGAAAACTTCTTCTCCTTGCATATGCAGTAACAAACCCAAATACTAAAGGCATGAGGGGGGGAACAACCCCAAGATAATCATATGTCATGCCTCATTAGTATTAACTCAGGTAGATAGGCAAACCTGTCAAAAAATAGGACTATGATTCCTCTAAATGTCTTATTTCATTGTAAAATAAGGAATTCTCCACAGGAAGGTTAAAGAGTTGGACTGTGTCTGTTCCTGATAATTAACCAAAGCCATTGACTTAGACCTGAAGGATACTATGCTTTAAACCTTCTCTATATAGATGAGGAAAAAAAAACTAGAAATTGCAGATACAGTCTTTCTATAGATATGTTAGGGGAGTCACTTTCATGCTTACTAATCTTGCTGTGGTAGAAGATGAGCAGTGCTGAGAATAGGCAGATTACTTAACCTGTAATTGAGTTTCTTAGAGGGAGGGGAAGAAATATTTGAAATTTGCATTGAAAAGAAGACTAACCAAACCAGTGTAAGGCATATTATCACTAAAATCAGAAACTTAATTAATTCCATAAAGCTGAAGGCATTGCCTCAATGAAAGTGACCTTTTGTATTAAAAGAAAGAACTGTGCTCTCAGGAAACAGATATTTCAAGAGCAAATTTTATCAGCTAAAACTAATTCAGGCTTTCATAATTTCTAAACTTAAATCTCCCCTTCCTTTAGTATGAATAAAATAGCGTGCATCAATTCCTTTCTGGAAATACGAAGATGTCTAGAGGAAACTTAGGTCTATTCTGACATGAATGACACTACTGAAGGTTTCTTCGTCCTGTCAAGGTTCTGCTTAGACTCTGAAATCCTTGAAGTAGTTAAGGTAATTATCAGGTGCACCTCAAAAAGCTGTAGTGCCATAGTGCTTTAATACCAGTGTAAATGTCTCTTGCATTTAATTTTATCAAGTATACTTCAGTTCCATGCTGTGTATCCATATTTACAGCATTAACCAGAGATCTTTTTAGGGGAGGGTTTTAGAAGCCCAAACAAGTGCCTTTGGAAAAAAAAAAAAATTAAGACCAGCTGCAGAAAGACAAAACTGTCCCAGTGACACAAAGAGGAACCAGAGCAGTTAAATTTAAATGTAGATCTATAGTAGTAACTTATGAACTGGTAAAATAAACCGGCCTATTGTGCAAGAGGACTGGAAATTTCAGTGAAAGGAATGTTTGGCTAAGTGGGGAGCTTCCTGATGAACTAAAAACAAGCATATGGGAGACAGAGTCAAGGAGAAGTAACGTAAGAGAAACATAAAACATTACTGGGTACTTAGGAATAAAATCCAAGCTAGGAAAAGACTAGCAAAGGACATTGAGTGTAGCAGTAAAGGATCTCACAGGTACACTAGTTTCAAGGGTAATTTCAGAGAAATGGGGGTCTGTTGATAGATGAGGGAGGCAACTTAAAGCTAAAGGATAAAAAAATGTTAGGCTATGCAACACTTCTCTTACCTTTGCACAGCCAAAGCCTGCTCACGTGCCTCTGCATGCACCAGTTTTGTTTAATGAAAGGGATAGGCAGAGGCAGCAACAATTTAGGGACTACTCAGAGAAGCTGGATGTATTCAAATCCATAGAGCCACCACAGATTCACTCAAGAGTGCTGAAAGAACTAGTCCGTATGTATACAAGTCTGCTGCCTGTGATATCTGAAAAACTATGGAAACTAGGGACTCGACAACTGGATGAGGGCTAACGTATCCCTCCCTGAAAAGGAAGAATTATCCCATCAGCTTTAACTCAGTTTGTGGAAGGATCATGAAGCCCTCCTCTTGGAATTCACTTCCAAGCACATAAAGGACAAGACAGTACATCAGAAACAAGTCAACACAGATTTACCAACAGCAAATTGCTTTCTACAATGGAGCAGACTAGCTTTGGAGATAAGGGAAACAGATTTTTAATATATATAAACTATATATGTGTGTGTGTGCATAAAGATATATTTTCACTTCAGTAAAGCTTTTGACACCATCTTCTGCAGCATTCTCATTTGGAAGTTGAGCAGATATGTGCTGAAACAACAAATTGCTGGCCAGACTGAAAATTGGCTAGACCACGAGGCTCAAAGGGTCTTGATTAATAGCTTGACATCCGGCTGATAACAAGCAGAGAACCCTACAGATCAATACCAAGGCCCATATTCTTCAGCCACCTAGATGATGATACAGAGCACACCCTCAGCAAATTTGCAGATGACAACATTAGATGGAGCAGCTGACATGACAGAGCTTCAGTCCAGAAAGACCCTGATAAACCTATTCTTGTTAAACATCATGAGATTTCTCGACTGGCACAGAGTGAAGTGCAAAGTTCTGCATACAAAGTGGGATAATGCCATGCCTTAATTTTGGTTGAGTAGCAGCCCCGCTGCAAAGAACCTGGAATTTATGGTGGCTGCCAGGGAGAAGGTAAACCAATAATCTACTCACTGCAAGAACATCAAACGACATATTGTGCTACGTTAGTGGGATGTATGGTCAGCAGAACAAGGGAAGTTGGCTATTTGGTAAGGGTGAGGCCCTAGAGCTCTACCCTTTCTCTTACCTGAAATACTAAACTTGAGGCAACTAATAAAAAAGGGCAAATGTTTGCTTCCAGCAAGCGCCAGAAGAATCCTACTTAAATAAATATATATACACATATATTGAAGATAAACATCTTCAATAGGATTAGGGAAAAAAATGTTTCAAAGTCAAAATAAGAAAATGTGTTAAACTTAGTCAATGTCCTTTCTCAACCTCATAGTAAGCTTGCTTGGTACGCTAGCATTCTTTTCCACATAGAAGTAGAATGCATAATGAAACACATAAAATAGCAGTTTCCATGCCAGTAAACCTTTGCACTCGTTCTTCTCTCAACCTTCCAGCTTCCACTATTGAGAAAACTTAAGATAGAAACTCAGTACTTCCAGTTCATGAAAGCACCACTAGATGGACATCAAAACATTTCTTCCCATAGTGTTGGCTTATGTTTGCCACTTGATTTCAGCATGGAAAAGAATGCTTACCTTGGTTGCGGAGTAAAGAGTCAGCAGTGGAGTTGGGTACATCCCAGCAGCTGAGGCGATATTCAGGATTACCCCTTTTGATCTGAAAGGCAGGGAAGATATATTATCGTGAAATAAAGGAAACATTTTTCGTGTTTTAGAAAATTACTGCAAGCCTAAAGAAAACCTTCAGGATGCAATTGAGATTAAGATCTGTTTAAAAACCCCAACCAAATCCTAAATTGAAATTTACTACCATGACTTCAAGCATAAAATAGGTATTCAAGCAGCTGGTATAAATCAGGGACAACTCCAAGGTCCATACAGCAAGACAATCAAGCTTCATACATATATATACACACACATGCTGGGCTGATCTATGCAAAACCAAGTGAGTGAAGCTGGCCTACGTCCAAAAGGCAACTTCTAAATCTCAGGCTAAGGTGTCAGAAATGGCAACACAAGTTTGTTGTATAGTTTACACTTTGATAAATACTTTCATCTTCTAAATTTTACTTCATGGTGGATCTTTAAAATAAGTCTCTGAATCTACTGCTCAAATACAAAAGTGTTTTAATATCGTATGGAAGATATTCAGTAGACAATTACAGAAGAGTTGTTTTACAGCTGTATTACAATAACACTGAGGGTATTTCACAATAATATTTCGGTAAGGGTATCCCTCTGAAGCTAGCTACCATCTCATCTGCCAAGCACTTGTAAAGCATGTACAGGTAGGACAGAAAGTAAGACTAGTAAGAAAGTAATTTCCCAACCCAGACTGATTTTGAACATGTCTATTTCTGAGACTAGTTTTACCTACAGAAACAGACACATTATTTAGTGCTAGGTAGAAAGAATTAGATCTAAAAGATTCAGGCAAATTAGGCAAGTACTCCGTTCAAAGGTGCTACCAGAGTCCAACACAGTGAAAGACGCATCTCTGCCTCTTCTTACCCTGAGTAAATTCAAGCCAGTTTACCTGAACATGCTAAGTATGCCGTGTTTAGTGCAGAGTAAGAACATTCATGCAGGTAGGCATCACACAGCTCAACTCCTGCAGATTCACATGAGTTTCTCATCGTATTTGTTCATCTAGGTATACCCTATGCTGCTGCTGTCATGATAATTCATTTAAGTAACCAGCTTAAAAACAAAGTTAAGTGACCATTAAAAATTAAAACGAGATTACTATTTCAAAATAGCAACAATAGATTCAAACCTACATGGCTTCTGACATGAAGTAAGTGCAAATTTAATCTGTGATTGATTCATCGCTAGAAAAGGGATGGCTAGCATGACAGAAGAGAATCATTTCAGTCGTTCAGGATTTCAGACACCTTTTCCAAAGTTCATTGTATTTTTCAGGAGTTATCTGCAAGGCCTGGTTGGCAAAATAAAGTAGTAATGTGGCTCAAAATACATAGTATGGAGAAAATAAGACCACAAATGAACCATGAATTTTCATGACAGCAAAAGGTTAACAGTGGATGCCAGAAGTTTTTCCATACCAAGACAGGTGGTGCTTGTGATATTTATTCATGAGCTCAAATGGGGATTAGCAGTGATATTCACGCAGTTTTTAAGAGATTATCAGATTGGATAATACTACAAGGAACTTTTTTAAAGAGCTCAGATTGTCATGCGAACAGACTATGGAGTGGCAGATGAAAAAAATCAGTATTAACAAAACCAACAATGCTTGCTAAAGAAAATAACGTGAATTAATAGCAAACCTTGCAGGACTCTAAATCAACTATCTGCTCCCTGAAAAACCTGAACAAAATCCACAAGGAGTTCTCTTCTGTGCAGCAGTCACCAAAACCAGCCAAAGAACAGGATGGTGGCAATGGCAGGGACAGATCCACCACCACTAAAATCTTGTATTACAGTCTACAGAACACCTTTACCTCTCCAAATATAGGACAGAAATATTAAGAACCTGATTATTTAAGAAAGCAGAAAAGAAGAAAAAAAACCAACCCTAATACATCAATGAGGTGAACAGATTGGTTTAATTTAGCTATCGAAAAGACTACTAAGAGCAGCCATGATAAGGGTATACAGACTAATGAATGACAAAGATCAAAATCTTGATTTATCCTCTCAGAACACAAAAGAATCACAGAATGTATTGGGTTGGAAGGGACCTCTAAAGGTCATCTAGTCCAACCCCCCCTACGATAAGTAGGGCCATCTCTAACTAGGTCAGGTTGCTCAGAGCCCCATCAAGCCTGACCTTGAATGTCTCCAGGGATGGGACTTCCACTACCTCTCTGGGCAACCTGTTCCAGTGATCCACCACCCTCGTATTAAAGAACTTTTTCCTAATGCCTGACCTAAATCTGCCCTTTTCTAGCTTAAAACCATTAACCCTCATTCAGTCGCTACAAACCCTTGTGAATTGTTCTTCTCTGGCCTTCTTATAGGCCCCTTTCAGGTATTGGAAGGTCAATACAAGGTCTCCCCCTGGAGCCTTCACTTCTCCAGGCTGAACAACCCCAACTCTCTCAGCCTGTCTTCATAGGAGAGGTGCTCCAGCCTCCTGATCATTTTCATGGCCCTCCTCTGGACACACTCCAACAGGTTCATGTCCTTCTTGTGTGGGGGCCTCCAGTGCTGGACACAGTAGTCCAGGTGGGGTCTCACCAGGGCAGAGTAGAGGGGCACCTCTCTTGATCTGCTGGCCCACACTTCTTTTGATGCAGCCCAGGATGCCTTTGGCCTTCTGGGCTGCAGCTGCACACTGGTGGCTCGTGTCCAGCTTTTCATCCACCAGCACCCCCAAGTCTTTTTCCACAGGGCTGCTCTCCAGCATGTCTTTTCCCAGGCTATATTGATACAGACAGTTGCTCTGGCCCTGCTGCAGGACCCTGCACTTGGCCTTGTTGAACCTCGACATTTATTTATTTAAATGGATGACTGAAATTTAGATCTGATAAAGGAAAATGCTTTTCCCATATTCAGACTACGGGAGTACTTGCCACAAAACTTAACAACAAAAGCTTAACAGGATTCAAAAAAGGATAAGCATTTATCTGGATAAACATGAGCCTCATGCTTACAAAACAAACTGAAGCTTTAGAAGAGTGACTGGTTTTCAGGCTGTGAAGCACAGGTGTTGCAGCACCTGGCTAGACTGCAGCTTTCCAGCAGGAGTAGTGACCATCATCTAAAAGCTCATAACTTAAACCCTCCAGATAAAAGGAAACTGAGAAGCACGGGTATAGGGGGAAAACTTCCAATTACAATTTTGCTGCTTAGAGAAATTGCAGAAGAAGTATTTTTAGGGAGGGACCTGAAGAACTATGCAAGCATCAGTGCAGCAAAAAGAAATTTGGGCTCCATCCAACTCAACTGTGCAGTTAATAAAATTAAAAAAAAAAAAAGTAGTTGGTTGAGATGAGGAGAACCAGGCCTCCACCCTCACACCTCCCCATCATTCTACCTTAAGTGGTCTGGCACAGGAGAGGCTATATTTAGCCATCTCCCTGTTGCTGTGGCAACCAGCGCCTGCTCCAGCTGCACTCCAAGTGGAAAGAGCAAGCTTCCTCTGTAATGTAATTATGCACTTGCTACTTCCCTGGCAATAAATACCATAGTTTGATATTTGTCTAGAAACAGTCAACTGATTTTTGGTGGTGGTGGTTTTTTTTGTTCCCAAAGACATCAAGCCTCGATTTTCAGTTCCAGGAGTCTCCCACCTTAGACAGCAGCCTGAAAATTTACAGAGGCACTGCTCAATTAAGTGTAATCGTAAGTTGCAGATTATAAATTGTCACTTTAAGTGTTCAGAGCACAGGAGAGGAGCCACAGCAGAGAATAAACGCCATTACCTGAAGTGCCATTAATCTCATGCTATGTTTGTCATAAATAAAAAGTAACAGACACACCAATATGCAGTTGTGTTTTCTCCTTACAGACCTGGATGCAAAGCATGTAAAGTCTGCTCTATTTCTGTATTTGTCTTGTAACATACTGCCATAAAACCAACATTCAAATACAAAAAAGTATGCACTACAGCTAGCTGCAAGATGCTATAGCGTGCTACGTCACATCTATCCACTCCACATGCTAACATCCTTGAAGGAGCGAGGAATAACAATGGGATTCCTAGTCTAGTTTTATTCTTAGAGCCTGAAGCCCTTCTTCCTAACCTGTGGTCTCATGTGAGAAATTTATGGTTGGCCCACAGAACAGCTGAGTACAGCTTCCATCCATTCGTGCCCTGGGATTCGCTGGACATCCATGTCCTCCTGTAGTTACAGACCCTCAGCAGTGTTAATGGTCTGTGAGCTATGACTATACAGGAGTTGGCAGCTGCAGACATTGCTTCTGTGCACTGCAAGCCCAACTGACTTCACAAAACCAAATAGAAAATGGAAGCTTTTTCAAATATTTTTCCCTGGGACAGAAACCAAGCCCTTCATTCAAATGGAACGGTCGTTTGAAGTGGCTCCTCACATGCAAGAAAAAGTTCAATGTGTACTTTTTTTTTTTTAAATCACTATTAACCTTTTCTTTCCAAGCTTCTTGAAAATTTATCCTTGAGATTCCTGAGGTAACGATGTAGTTACGAAAAGCAAGAAGAAACATGATGTGGTGTGCTCAAGGGTAGGCAGAACCAGAAGTCAGCAGGATCCTGGTTTGCTGCCTTCTATTCAAACCCAGGTTAATATGTAACATAAACACACACAGAGGATATTCTATAAGTAGAGTACACATCATTCTGTCCCAAGAAACTGAAGAGATCAACACTGCCAATGGGATAACTTGGACATTTCTTCAGACAAAGAAGAAACCGAGGCAAGAAATTGTTAATCTTCAGAGTTCCAAAAATTGTTAACAAAACTACATTACATCCTTCGAAAGCAGAATGGCTTTCGACCTGCTGGCATCTTCAGAGGGCAGCAGTTTCATAAAAGACAGGTCCTTTTATCAATAACAGTACATGGGCAAGAAGTAACTTTTGACTTACAAACTCTGAGTAGCTACCACCACTGTACTATAATCCTCATCCTCTACTCCAGCTTTATTGGGAAATGTTACAGTCCTGCCCCAGAGCTCTGTCTTGGGCCTTCTTTATTAATGCAAGTTTCTTTACATGAAATAAACTCATTCTTATCTCCTGACCGTTTAACTAAAAGTCTAAGCTCACCATCATCCTGATGTGTTAGACACTGACTTCCACACTGGCCACTAGCTCTGACAGTTTGCACCCATGAAGAAACTTTTAGATGTGAAGTATTTGCTCTGCATCTGTGCAACATCCGAGTAACTGAATCCTGATCTGCCATGAAGACTCCCAGATAGTGGGATGACACAAGAAATACCAATTTTTTTTCTTAATCCTTGTTGGATTTGGAGGTTTGCCCCATATATATGTTCCTCCTACAGTATTCATTTGGAGACAATACCACGGTAACTGCCTTCCTCAGCACTGTGAGCATAGCTCAGAACTGACCTAGGGCAACCCCGAGCACGCTGGGGTTTGCACCACTACAGAGACAGCAAACAGCCTGGAACAGTCAACATCAGCTAGAAAATAGCCTGGAGGGACTACATGGAAGCATGCACCTTTGAGATTCACCTGGGAGCTAGCTAGAAAGTCAGTACACATCTTCCGTGGCAACAGTGGCGTGCACTAACTCTTATTTTAAAGAGCTGGTCTCCAATTCTCCTGTTCCAAATGATCACAGACTTTCCTCAATATACCTCCTACTGTATAATGAGAACATATTCTTTGCATCCATTTTACTTACAATGACTTAGAGAAATAGCCTTAAGAAGGTTATTCCCAGGAACTGTAACCACCCCCTCAGAATAGCAGGTTTTTGAGTTAGTGCTGATGAGTCAGACGGGCTTTTTAATTCATTCTAAAAGGAATCACCACAACAGTGGAGAAGGGAGAGGAAAAATAAAAAGGGAATCAAGTGGAAAAGGCTTCCACCGTCTGATGATTCATGCACCATCAGCGTGACTCACTCAGCATTACTCTGCCATTAAAACATGGAGACCGGGCTGATTAGTCACAGTAATGAATTTTTCAAGAAAGGATTCTCCCCTATAAATAATGATGACTTTGTCTGGATAGTGTTAGTATGACTCACCTTTCCAGCATGCTGGGCAGCACCAATCGTGTCATCTGCAAAAAGAAAACATTCGATTCGTGATGGCTGAGAATGCAGACACCAGACAGTCAAAGACAGAGGGAAGCCTCCCTTCCTCCCAGAAGCAGCTGCCACCCCCTCCACTCCAACCAAGGCTCAGGGAAGCAGAGACCATACTTTGCGTAGGCAGTTTATTTTTATTCTACCTGGATAACTTGGCTCTGTCAAGTAGTGTGTGCACTGAATCCGGTGAACCCATCCAGCTAGTACAATAAGAGTAAATAAAAAAATGTCTCCACTGCTCTGCAGCATCCGTGGCCTCTAAAGAACATTGAAATACTGGAATACTACAGTACATGTATGACCTTTCTCTTCTCACAAAAAGCATCTGTCTTCCTCAAAACTGACTAAACTTACCACCTATGCCAAGACTCAGGACAATATCCAATGCATTTTAGCTACCCTTACCAAACTGCCGAATTTAAGCTAAAAATAAATTGTGGAGCAGCAAGAGCACTGGACAGAATTAGTGAAGATAAGTTTCCTACATTATGTTACCTACAGAAACTATTTAAGATGCCAAAACATTTTTTTGCTGATTGCACAGATGTTTTCACACTGAAGAACCTACACCTCCACCAGGAAAGTAGCCTGGCAAACCTCCTCACTGCTCTGCAAGCCTCTGCCTTTGATATGACTCTGAGCAATCTATTTACAACCTGGTTGAAGGATCCTCCAGAGCAGTAATTCTAAAACAAGCTTCCCAGTTGTTGACAGAGCAGCTCTGACAAGGGAAACAAATCACGCATTGATTCAAACTTGGATAATTTTTTAATTACTGTGAAATAGTTAATTTTCCTACTACTAATTACTACCATCCTAAAATAATTTAAATCCAAAGTTTCTGCCTTTAAGAAATAATGTCATCAAAGCTCAGCTTGTGCCAAATATCACCCCACCCCCAGCCAACCCTGTTAATAAATGACACGTCACTGACACTAAGGACAGACCAGACAAGAAATATAAATTGTTACCATTTTTCCCATCTTTAAAAGGTGTTCCAACAAAGTTCTGGAGAACACAGTGAGGAGGTGTAACAAAATACTAACGGCATTAAAATGTAATGGTACTCCCACTGAAACCAAATTACTTGATAGCTTAAAACATGAAACATTTGAGTAGTATGGGAGGGAAAGCACACACACACACACACAAAGAGAAGCCAGCATACACAGGAGCACAAAATACCTGTAAGTGCTTTTATTACAAAGAAACAAATCTTATTGTAGCAAACTACTCGTATGACTATCACCACTGCATTAGCCCTTACACGTGACTGAATCTGGGTTTGGGTTTTTCATTTGTTTGTTTTTATTTTTGAATTATAAAAAACATACCCTTTCAGAAATAAAGGAGAAAAATCACAAAATAAAACAAAATTTCAGTTGATTGCAGTTGACACACAAAGAAAATGGTAGAGAAGGGCTGTGTTTTGTATTTTATTGTCATTTCTCACTTAGAATAGATTCTGCCATGCTGCAGGACAGCTTCAATAAGGGACTGTACAGGTAGGGGTTGAACAGACCTTACCTTCATGAAGTCAGCTGTTGACATATTTAACATTCAGCACTGCCCCAAAAGTCAAACTAAGTATTCGGAGTTAGTAAACATCACCAAACTAAACAGATCTGATGAAGCTTCTCAAACCCCTCTAAGATTAGGTCTAAGAATACAGGAGTTTTTTCACACACTAATGCTTCAAAAGAGATGTGGAAACAATTATTTATTCATATGTTAAAGGATAAAGAATTATTCAGGCTGATTTTAAGACTAGTTCAAGACCGGTAGATCTTTTATCTGGTGCAAGCTTTATGATCTCTCCCACAGATCCCTCTGCAAAAAGCAGCGTACACTGTTGTTTGCTTCTCAGGGCAGTGTAATGCTACATATCATCTCCATAGATTGACACATGGACAGTCTAAAATTGCTTCCCTTAGGCAACCCATAAATGGTCTGAAAAACCAGTACAGGATCTCCCATCGTAATGCAGAGAGGACCCCACATTTGAAACTTTATTATAAATCCACACAAATGCATTCATGGTCTAAATCCAAATTGCAACCCACCAAGCAGCTCTAACAGTGTATCACGAATCTGCTGGTTACTATTGATACCCAAACGAGAGCACAGAAAAACATGCTACAGTAACTGTTTTGACTTACATAAATTAAAAAACTATGAAGCCATTGACAGTTGAGCTGTAACAACAGTTACACAATTCAGGCAGAAACCAAGAAGTCTCACCACCAGCTGTGTTAAACAGTCTGTTTCTGAAGTTCAGCTGGACAGGCAAGCAATTTAATTTTCTTCCCCTCCACAGAAATGCACTGATGGCAAAACTGGATTTTATACTCAACGTCACTTCCATCTCTTCCCATTAAAAACAGTATTTTGAGGGAATTTTAAAAAAAAAAACCCTGTGAAATAGGGCAAAACTGTTTTTCCTATCTGTATTTTTACATCTTGTGATGTGTGAAGAGAGATATATGAATATTCAGTATCTTTATGTACAGAAAAAATACTGGGTTTTTTAAAGAATAAAATAACAGCAGGCAGGCTCTGAGTCAGTCTCACCTTACCCAGCCAAGTCCACACTCAGACTGTTACAGCAGTGCAAGAGCACTATTGGAAAAATGCTGGCAGGGCATTCCGCGGCCATATTCAGGTCTGGCAAATTCATACATTGTACACACACGTAAAATGTTCCCAGCATTAATTCAAATAAAACGATCTATAGCAGAAATGTAGTTTTACAACAGTGTCCACACGTGCTTTATCCAAAACAGCCAAACTGGTGAACGCTCTTGCCTTCAACAGCTATAATCTCAGACATGCTATTATGAAATAGGCAGTTCAACAACAAACATCTACAGTTAAATAAATACCTCCCAGATAAAGAATCCAAATTCTAGGTAGGTCTTATTCAGAGATAGCCAGTTCTGTAATGGGGTATACTTCATAAATGCCAAAGCATTGCAAGCCTGAGTCTACAGGAATGAGTATGGAGGATGCCAGAGAACTCTGGCAGCATTTGTTTCTCTGAAGGCAATCTTAGAAAGGAAGATTCTGAGGGCTGGAGCACCTCCTCTACAAAAACGGGCTAAGAAAGTAGGGGTGGTTCATCCTGGAGAAGAGAAGGCTCAGGGGAGACCTTAGAGCAGCCTTCCAGTGCTTAAATGGGGCCTACAGGAAAGGTGGGGAGGGACCCTTGATCAGGGAGTGGGACGATAAGATGAGGGGTAACGGTTTCAAACTGAAAGAGGGGAGATTTAAGTTAGATGTTTGGAAGAAGTTCTTTACTGTGAGGGTGGTGAGACACTGGAACAGGCTGCCCACAGAAGCTGTGGCTGCCCCCTCCCTGGCAGTATTCAAGGCCAGGCTGGATGGGGCTTGGAGCAACCTGGTCTAGTGGGAGGTGTCCCTGCCCATGGCAGGGGGGTTGGAACAAGATGATCTTTAAGGTCCCTTCCAACCCAAACCATTCTGTGATTCTATGGTTACAGACCATTTCATTAATCTTTTACAGGCAGATATCATTTCTTGATACTCATTTATCTGCAACTACATTTATTACATGCTTGGCAAGCACTGGTTGTGTTGTCCATTCTTCCTCACCAGGCTCAACTTCTACCTTATAATTTTGGAAGGAGAAACACCACTTCTGGTCTAAAGAAGCAGAGGTTCCTACTTGCAGATAAAAATGGACAGACACGTGGCTAGATTCATGTTCTACAGGTGCTACACTTAAAAGCTTCTATTAGAGGACTAACAACTGGAAGTTACAACCATGTATTTCCAGTGTTTTCTTCTTCAGAAAAAGCTCTCCCATTCTTAGTGATCAGAGTTGTAGCCTCTTCTCACTCCGATCTAAGCAATAGCTCAGGAGCAGAGTTTAGGG